TTGGAGAAGTGTCTGTTCATGGACATGTGTCTGTTCTTCTGCCCATTTCTTCACTGGATTATTTGTTTTTCGGGTGTGGAGTTTGACGAGTTCCTCATAGATTTTGGATACTAGCCCTTTATCTGATATGTCATTTGCAACGATCTTTTCCCATTCCATCGGTTGCCTATTCGTTTTGTTGATTGTTTCCTTTGCCGTGCAGAAGCTTTTTATTTTGATGAGGTCCTGTAAATAGTCTGCGAGTGGGCTGCTCACCTGGGTCTCCATCAGAGACACAGAAGGAATCAAGGAAAGACCATGGTCCAAGGCCTAAGGCACAGCTAAGAACCTCATGCCTCTCTTCAATGTTCTTAAAGGAGGAGTGCTTGGTATTGTTATAAGGATAGACGGACAACTATGTTAGAGACACACCAGAGTAAACTTTAGGAGGAATACTCTTGACAGAGAGTTATATAGAAAGGAGTAGCCTGTTTCTTCCTTTCCTTCAGGGGGGGGGGGGAAATCAAAGCAGATATACCTGCTAGAATGATCTAGATGATGTTTTCAATAATAGCATAATGACTAGTCCAAGACCTGGAATTTCTTATAGATGTGATAAAGTATCATTCTCTTTTAGTTGTGGACGTTATTTTCCAGAAGGGAAAAGATTCTAATTATTAACGAACCTATAAGTTGGTAGCTGAGAGAACAGAAGACCATTTTCTCATTTTGCTGCGACGTTGCTGCTGTACATAAAGGATTTGGGTCTGCTAGGAGGGTGCTGACAAGGATACCTGAATACTTCACTCCAGCTGAATTGTAGGGTTCCATTAGTGGTAAAATACTAGGCAGCTTTCTGGAATTGTTAGGTTAGCTGTTCTGACTTGTCCAGTGCCAGGTGTGTGAATTGTTCTGTATTCATTTCCTAGGGCTTCTTTGATGAATTACTTCAAATATGGTGGCTTAAAAATGTTAGACCTTTATTCCCACAGTTCAGGAGACCGGACATCCAAAGTCAAAGTGTCATCTGGGTTGCACTCTCCCTGAGAGCCCTGGGGAAGCATCTCTTCCTTGCCTCTTCCCGCTTCAGGTGGCTCATGGCATTCCTTGGCTTGGAACCACACTGCTCTCTGCCTCTTTCATTACGTGGCCAACTCCTCTCTGTGTGTCTCCCTCTGCCTATCTCTTACAAAGATATTTATGATGACATTTAGGGTCTACCTGATCATTCTGGATAAGCTCCTCCTTTTAAGATTTTTAATTTAGTCACATTTTTTGCCGTCTAAAATAACATTCATTCTTTGGTTCTACAAAGTAATATTCACAGTAAGGTCATTTTTTTTCAGCTTACTAACTGCTCCTTTCCTATTTCTTTGCACTGTTTGGTCTCTTCTATTTATCTGGATTTTTTGGATTATTGTTATGCCCTCTGACCTATCCTGTAAAAATCTCTGATAAAGCAATTACTTGTCCAATTGTAATTTTTTATTGTCTCCTACACTGACTTCTAGAGCAAGGGCCAGCAAACCACGGCCCATGGGCCACATCCATTCCTGTTATTGTATAGACAACTAAGAATGGTTTTATATTCTCAAATGAATAAAAAAATCAAAAGAAGAGTAATATTTTGGCACATACAAAAATTACATGAATTTAAATTTCAGTACCTGTAAACGAAGTGTTATTGGAACACAGCCCTGCTCATTCGTATGCTCCTGATTTTGTGTTACAGTAGCAGAGGTGAGTAGTTGTGGCAGAGAGTGTGTGATCCACACAAGGCCAGTTGGTCACTATCTGGCCCTTTATAGAGAAGATTCACCCACCTTTGTTCTAGTAGGGCTTGTCTCTGGCTTTTAATTTTTATTAATTTTTGTTAATGTTTTATTTATTTCTCAGAGAGAAAGAGAGACAGTGTGAGAAGGGGAGAGTCAGAGAGAGAGGGAGATACAGAATCTGAAACAGGCTCCAGGCCTGAGCTGGCTGTCAGCACAGAGCCCGACCCGGGGCTCCAACCCATGAACCACAAGATCATGACCTGAGCTGAAGTCGGACGCTTAAGTGACTGAGCCACCCAGGAACCCCGGTCCCTGGCTTTTAGTGTATAGTGAGCAGTAGTCATTTGTTGCTGAATATTTGACTTGTAAGAATTTCATCAATATAGTAAGGATTTGGTATGATTCCCTAAAGGATTATTTTAAAACTATGGGGTTAGGAGAAGTGTAACTATTCTATTATTCATGCTCCCAATCTTTTTGGCTCTAAGACTCAAATAAACAGAGAGTGATAATCCTGCTTTCAAATTTAATTGAATTAGGAAATAGGCGTCAAGCCTAGGAATTGAAGTTGACAAGTGTGATGGTTATTTTATGTGTCACGTTGTCCAGACTGAGGCCCCCAGATGTATGATTGAATGCTAGTGTAGCTCTTGATTTGAAGGCACTTTTTAGATTTAACATTTACACTCAATTGACTCTAAGTAAAGCCGATTACTCCCATTGTGGTATGCCTCATCCAATCAGTTAAAAGCTTTAAGAATAAAAACTTAGGTTTGTTTGTTTCTTCCTCCCTCCTTCCCTCCCTCCTTCTCTTCCTCCCTCTCTCTCTCTCTTTCTTTCTTTCTTTCACGTGTATTTATTTGAGAGAGAGAGATAGCATGAATGGGGTAGGGGGAGAGAGAGAATCCCAAGCAAGCTTTGTACTACCAACACGAGTCTGACTCAGGGCTCGAACTTAGAAACTCCGTGAGATCATAACCTGAGCCGAAACCAAGAGTTGGACACTTAACCTACTGGGCTACCCAAGTGCCCCAAGACTGCGGTTTCTTACGGAAGACAGATTTCTGCCTCAGGACTGTATCATAGGAAGCCTGCTTGGATTATCACCCTGCTATCCTTGTCCTACATATTTTGGGCATGCTGTCCCCACAACTACATGAGCCAATTCCTGAAAATAAATCCTATTTCTAAATATATATCCTTTCGGCTGTCTTGCTCGGGAGAACCTGACTGACACAGCAGGCTACTGTGATGGGCTGCGGATGCGAAGCGTTTGAAGTGTTTGGTCCCATGATGCGGTGAGGATGCGGAGTGTAGCCGAGGCAGGGGCCTGGCCCCGCATCAACTCACCCTCTTACACACCTCGTGGGAGGAAGGATGTTATATTTGCATACCACAGAGTCAAAAATAAGCTCCCTGGTGATGGAGCGGAAGGCTTTTTCCCAGTCCAAGATAGCCTGAGGTCGTGAGAAGATGGTAAGTGAGGTGGTAAAAACAAGACAGAAGCAGACGGACTTGCTCACAGGGGCACCTGAGAAAACGAGAGGGGGACCAAGCAACTTGTGCGTGGCAGAGTTTCTGAGAACGTCTTCCCTCTTCTTCAGCCTCTGAAAACAAAAGCTTTCTGTGTATACTGACTGCAGTAGAGAGCGCCAAGTCCATGTATCTCCCTAGCTTGGTTCTATCGCACTGCACACGGTTCCTTTCCTTCTCTAGTTCTGCTTTGTAAGAAGAGGATAAAAATACCAATAGGGGTCCTATTTGTCAATATTTGGCGATTTTGCTTGTATCTCTACACATGTAAGAAATTTTAGATACCGAGGTCTTTAAAAAAATTTTTTAATGTTTTTATTTATTCCTAAGAGAGTGAGAGAGACAGCGTGAGCAGGGGAGGGTCAGAGAGAGAGGGAGACACAGAATCTGAAACAGGCTCCAGGCTCTGAGCTGGCTGTCAGCACAGAGCCCGATGTGGGGCTCGAACCCATGAACCATGAGATCATGACCTGAGCCGAAGTCAGACGCTTAACCGACGGAGCCATCCAGGCACCCCCAGATACTGAGATATTTAAAGTTTGTGTTAATAAATTGTAATTACACATATGAAAAGTTAAATATTTAAAGAAAACTCCCTTTGAGTGACTGTTGATGTATATTTCAAAACAAATTTTATTGAATCTCCAAATGGTGCTGGAAAGTATATTTTATGATTTTATGTATTTTGATTTCCTCTCAACCTTGCTCCAAGAAATGGTTGACTCTCAATTGAAGATACTACTGTGTCTCCTTCCTGTCCCACAACAGCGACGCCATCCCTCCCACATACCTGTTTCAGCTTTATTGACTATCAGTTCATCATAATCTTTATAATGTATGCTCTTTATTTGCTCTTCTAAAGAAGCAATTGTAACTTTGAGTTTTACAGGTACAGACTGATTTGGGGCATGTGTTCTACCTCTTCACTTGGTTTTGTTTTATGAGTAAATAAATGATTAGAATGCAAAATAGTTTCTTCTTGCTCAGAATGCCATTTTATTCAAAATAGTACAAGTCTCCTACACTGTTTTTACCCTCAGAGTTTTAACAACCTTTCACTGCCTGAATTCTAATAGCATATATAATGTAATCGAAAGCAGTTATTTTCAACAGTTCCTTGAGAAATTTTCGACTGTTCATAAGGCCTGGGTTCTGAGGTAGGTTTTGGGGATATAGACAGGTAATAAGATGCCCTACTCTCAAGGCGTTGCCAGTCTCCCAGGAGAGACAGCCTTGGTGACAGTATGTGAGCGTGTTCAAAGAAACCGTGGAGCCATATTTGAAGAACCGAGTTTATTGGGGATGGGTAAGGCATCACAGAGAAGGTTACAGTGCAGCTGGGCTTTGAAGGAAATGTACGTGATTTCCATCCGAAGAAATCCACATGTTCGACTGAGATGTATTGGCATCTAGAAGTTCTTCATATGCCATTATTTCAAAAGGTGAGGGAGAAATCACGTAGAGCTTAGTAAAACAGATGACCTGTGAGTTTCCGTAATAATTTCATAGATTATTCTTAGCGTTTTTTAAAGCATGACAGATGATTGATTTCTTGAAACAACACTATCGACTAAGATCTTGTGTGTATTCTAAAATTGAGTATGAGCAGTCATTTGTGAGGTACTGAAAAATGTGTTGTTATTATATAAATTGATGTTTTTCTCCCCTCCTTTTCTCCCCCCTTTCCCCTACCCCTTTTGGTTGTTTTTGCAGTTGGTTAGTCTGTTGCTCATTGGAATCGCCGCATGGGGAATTGGTTTCGGGCTGATTTCCAGCCTCCGGGTGGTCGGCGTGGTCATCGCAGTGGGCATTTTCCTCTTTCTGATTGCGTTGGTAGGGTTGATTGGAGCCGTAAAACACCATCAGGTGTTGCTTTTTTTTGTATCCTTTTTGAAAAGCAGAATTTTTACCCCAACTGAATTTGTTCTTACTTTTATTGATTATTCCTTTGATAACTTACAGCTGATTTGGAATTATCATTAGGAAATTAATTGCCAGCCAGCAACTCCTAGCACGCCCTGTGTGTCTTTGTTCAATCAACATTAGGAATGTTTCTTAACAGTGAAATTACTGTAAGTTCATATATTCCCACTGTCTCTTTTTCACATTGTGAAGAGTGTCTTCTGCAACTTCAGTATAGTCCTTTTTATGTATTGCAAATTCAGAGTTACATTGAACTGACTCAGTGACCTGTTGACTCGAGAAGGTTAATATTTGGTTGAGAATTTCAGTGATTGTTTTTTAGATTTAATATCGAGAAATCTTAATATGTTTATCTATACTTATTTCTTGTTTTATACATGTAAAAATATTTATTATAATCTAAATGGATTTCTAGTTGATCAGCTTTTAAATATAAGTATTATTTATTATGAACTTATACCTGCAGTGTATTAATGAAAATAATAATTGTGTGTCTTCTTTTTGACCTTTCTGTAGGTGCCCTTTGTTCTGTTTTCTGATTGAATTCCTTCTAGTACATTCTGATGTCAGTACCTCTATTCTATATTATTTCAAGAGTATCGAGAAATGCCTTAACTTTAATTCTCAGTACATGATTATTCTCTTACTCGTGTTTGTTGTTCAGTTTTCTGTGTCATGTGCTTGCTTAGCCCTGAACCAGGAGCAACAGGTAAGCAAAGGCTTTTTTCTCCAACTTTGTTACACCACATAGTATGTGTAAGAAAAAAGGGGAGAATAGATTGGAATATAAAATAACTTCTTTTTGCTCAGAATGGCATTTCACTCTATACACCTAAAATCTTTGGTTCCCAGTTGCATTAGTGGAGCTGATTGGCACCCTGAGACACCATCAGGTGTTGCTGTTTTCTGCATCCTGGAAGTAGAATTTTGCCTTCCCAGGGTAAAAAGTGCTACTACTAAATGATGTTCACCCAGGCTTTTCCCACCATTATGTGATGAAACATTTGTGATTCCATTCTAACAACTACACTTTCCAAACTCTAATTTGTACAAGAACAAGGGTCTCTGACTGAGGCAATGGAAAATTTGTCTTGTTGCAGTCTGAGAATGTTTTGAACTAACTGCTTTCTTAAAAAAAAATCCATGTAAAAATTGAGACTTTTCATGCTCGAGATAGACACAGTGCTTTAATTTTGTTGCAGATTCAGTTCTTGCCCTTTGAAAACCTCTAATGGTCTTAAAAGAGTATTTATTTTAGGTACAATCCATATTAAAAGTTGCACTCTCTAGCTTTACATGTTTTGTGCATGGATAATACATTTTAATGTATATCTTTTTTTTTTAACTTTTTTTATGTTTTATTTATTTCTAGGAGAGAGAGAGAGAGAGAGAGAGAGAGCAGGGGAGGGTCAGAGAGAGAGGGAGTCACAGACTGAAACAGGCTCCAGGCTCTGAGCAAGCAGTCAGCACAGAGCCCGACGCGGGGCTCGAACCCAAGAACCGCGAGATCATGACCTAAGCGAAAGTCGGACGCTTAACCGACTAAGCCACTCAGGTGCCCCTTTAATGTATATCTTAATGCATTTTCTAGGGTCAGCTTCTTGAAGTTGGTTGGAACAATACAGCAAGTGCTCGAAATGACATCCAGAGAAATTTAAACTGCTGTGGGTTTCGAACTTTTAACCCAAATGACACCTGTCTGGCTGTAAGTAAAAAGTATTAAGCATTTTTTGGAGATGTATTGCGTACAGATGAATAATGATTACCATGAAAGAAGTGGACTTTCCGATGGTGAATTATATTAAGTGCTCTCCATATACCTATTTTATTTCCATGGACATTATTGTATCATTTGTTCTCAAGCCTCTCCTCCTGAGAGTACTAACTATCCCAGGGCCCTGCCAGAGACAGATGCTTTTGGTTCTTTGCCCCTAATTCCTTCCCATTCAACTCATCCTAGAAGAAGTTGTGAAAAGAAAGTAAGAGCAGACCAGCCTTTGACGTACAGAGGAGCTGTATAAATCTCTTGGTTTTGAAGCATATCAGGGTAGTGGGAGGAAAGTGGTCTCTCCTCAATTGAGCTTTTTAGCCATTTAAACATGTCCAGGGGGAAGGATGTGTGGAACCACTCTCTTTCCTCCCTCCCTCCTTCCCCATTACAACTTCGTGCTCTTTCTGTGTGGGAGCTGAGCTAGGAGTGGACAAATTAGAGCTGTACTGTTGTCCCAGACCAGACCCCTACATGAGGCTGAACTTGGAGCTTAGCTCTTCTAGGAAGTTTACATGTGTCAAAATTTGGGGGAAACTCCTATAACCATCTCTCTGAGCCCTGAGCTGGCTTCCTCTCAATGAGGCTTCTTTTATGGGAATATTAATTTTCTGTTGCTTCGGAACGCACGCACAACACCCACGTGTTGTCTCACTTTCCGTGGATCAGGAGTGTGAGTGTGGCTTAGTTGGGTCTTCCACTAAGTGTTGGCGAAGGGTAAAGTCAAGGTGTTGGCAAGGCTGCAATCTCACCAGAGGCCCAATGGATTGTTGGCAGAATTCAGCATCTGGTGGTTGTGGGACTTAAGTCTCATTTTCTTGCTCTTATAATATGGCAGCATCAAAGTCAGCTTGATAATTTCCATTCTGTTAAGATGATGTCCTTTTTTAAAATAATTTTGCTTAATGTTTGTTCATTTTTGAGAGACAGAAAAAGACAGAGCATGAGTGGGGGTGGGGCAGAGAGAGAGAGAGAGAGAGAGAGAGAGAGAATCTGAAGCAGGCTCCAGGCTCTGAGCTGTCAGCACAGAGCCCAACGTGTGGCTCAAACCTGTGAACCATGAGATCATGACCTGAGCTGAAGTCAGTTGCTTAACCAACTGAACCACCCAGGAACCCCTGTTAAGATGATGTCTTATTTAACACACTGTAAACATAGGAATGACTGTCTATCATATTCACAAGTCCCATCCACAGTCAAGGGGGGGTAATTACTCAAGGTGTGTACACTGGGAGTGGGGATCGTTTGAGCCATCTAAGAATTTAGGACAGTACTAAATACTGAAGACCCAGATTGGATATAATACTACAGCCACTCATTTTTATGTGCGTTCAGTTTTTATCTGCTTTTTATGACTACTTTGAAATAAAAATACTTTTTTTTATAAATCGATACAGAGCTGTGTCAAAAGCAGCCACCCATGTTCACCGTGTGCTCCAATAATAGGAAAATATGCTGGAGAGGTTTTGAGATTTGTTGGTGGCATTGGCCTTTTCTTCAGTTTCACAGAGGTATGTGCAAATAACTCAGTCTTTCCACTTTTGACATAGGGATCTGTTTTATATGGCAAGAGGGCATTGAATTTTACCTTAGCATGGCCCTTAACTTTTGGAATGTATTGATGAATATTCTCACTGAGGTTTCGTATTACAATTGGAGGAAATCTGGCTTGAATTCAGAAGACCTCACAGACCTAGCATTAACTTTATACAGGGTGAGAGGCTGCATCATTGAATCGTTTAAAATTTAATGAACAAATAAAATGAGTTTAGACTGGGTTATTTCCAGAGTCTCTTCTATTTATAGACTTGTATGATAAATTATAATTTTAAATTTTGGAATAGGTAGGACATTTGTACTGTTTAACGTATATAGTATATAACACACACACACACACACACGTTTAATATATATAGTATCTAACACACACATATATACATACAGAGATAGGCTTTGAAAAACTGCCTTCCAAGCCCAGCCTCCATTGTTCCTAGCCTTCCAAAACCTATAGGTAAACACTATTATTAATTTCTTAGTTATATAATTTATATTAATATATTTTTCATATGAATACAGCTAGAGATAATATATGTGTCTATAACTAAAACCACACATATTTTTTTTTTATAATTTTAGAGGAATGCTAATTCCTTTTGCGTTGTCTTTATTAAATTCTCAATCTCTGGACATTTCTTGATAAAGCCAAGTTGACAATATGCATCCAAATTTTTTAATACATTATTAAAATGTAATAATTATTTTGAGAGAGGGAGAGAGAGAGAGAGAGAGAGAGAGAATCCCCAACAGGCTCTGCACCATCAATGCAGAGCCTGATGTGTAGTTCAAACTCATGAACCATGAGATATGACCTGAGCCAAAATCAAGAGTCAAGCACTTACCTGACTGAACCACCCAGGCACCCCTATAGCACATCATATATCTACTGTATATTATATATATATTTATATATATTATATATTTATATGTTATGTGTGTGTATCTATGTTATATATTTTATTGTATTCAGCTTCCTTTTCTGGTGAGAAGAAAAAATTCACACATGGCTGTTATTTACAAAGTGGAGATAAAGAAAAACGTTAATATTCATTTTATAATTATAAAAGAAGTCTCCCCTGACATCTCTTCTTATTCTGAGCATTTTTTTATTTAACTTTTTCTTAAGAAAGAGCTGTCTTGTGGGTTGGTGGTGACATCGATTCAAGAAAATTGATGTGATGTTCAAAAACAATCCTGTACATTATTTTTTCTTTTCCTTTAAACAGTATGATTTTTCCTCATGAAGCAACTTAAAAATACAGGTAGAAAAAAATTGGGATGAGCAATCTCCATCTCTGTTAGCCAGATTCAACAATTATCAGGATTTTGCCACTTGGTTTTCTTTTTATTTTGGAATTTATTTTGAGAATTTCATTCTTTATTTATTTTTTTATTTTTTAAAATGTTTACTTAAAAACAAACCATAAGATCATGACCTGAGCTGAAATCAAGAGTTGGATGCTTAACTGAGCCACACAGGTGCCCCGAATTTAATTCTTTTGAGCAGCTCTATTTTCTTCTCATCAGGTTACACTACTTTGTTATGCCTGTTTTCTTAAGCAGACTTTATTATTATTATTTCTTAAACATTTATTTATTATTGAGAAACAGAGACAGAGCATGAGCATGGGAGGGATAGAGAGAGTGGGAGACACAGAATCTGAAGCAGGCTCCAGGCTCTGAGCTGTCCCCACAGAGCCTGATGTGGGGCTTGAACCCATGAGCTATGAGATCATGACCTGAGCTGAAGTTGGACATTCAACCGACTGAGCCACCCAGGCGCCCCTATTTACTTTTTTAGCTAAGTTTTTGGTTGATAGCAAAACTGAGAGAAAGGTACAGAGATTTCCCATATATCCCTGCCCTTAGGCAGGCATATATAGTCTCCCCCATTGTCACCATTACTCACCACAGTGGGACATTTGTTACAATTGATGAACCCGCATTGACACATCATAATCACTCAACATTCATAGTTTACATTAAGGTTTACTTTTGTACATTTTGTGGTTTGGACAAATATATAATGACATGTATTATAATGACATCATTATTAAATCATATAGAGTATTTTTGCTTCCCTGTAAGTCTTTTCTGTTCTGCCCATTCATCCCTCCCGCTACTGTTTTGTTTTTTTTTAATATCAATTCTGTTAAGAATACAAACTCTTGAGTCTTAGCTATCTAAGAGCTAAGACTTTGTGTTCTTTCATGGCCTTCTGCTCTATATTTTATATACCATGTCCTTTGAAATCTGGTTAGAGATTTTAATAATAGTTTATCCAACCTGATATTTTCTGGATAGTGAATATTTTATAGGTACTGTCACTTTTCACTTTTTTGTTTTATTCAGTATTTCATCGAATCATAGGGATGAGGCTAACTAACCAATGATTTTCTCATAGGTGAAACAGAATGATTTGACTTGAATTATATATCATACCAGAAAATAAACCTAAACCATCAAAAAGCTTTGACTTAGAATTTCAAAAAAAGGTTAGAGTCAGCACATGCTTTTTGTAGAAACTTTAGAAAGTACAGAAAATTATGGAGATGAAAAATTACTTGTATTTACTAACTAAAATTACAAACTAAGTAAATTCTTTTTCTCCCCGCCATATATATTTCAACCCAAACTTTCCACTTCCTCAAATTAGACTTATTTTTCCTTGATTCATCTCACAAAACATAGTTCCATCAACTCTTACATGTTGTGACTATAATCAGTGCTAGTCATGAATTTTATAACAACACTGGGGTCATTATTGTGATAATGGAGAAAATTGTGGCGTGATCATCATTCTCTAGAAGTAGTTTAGAGGGCTAATGAGTAGATATGAAGTCAAATAAACAGAATTTAGATGAAAAGTTTGTACAGATCTAAAGTGGAAAATCTAATTTGAAATTCATTTTATTCCATTAAAATTTTATATCTTTTTCAGTCTAAGAATTTTTTATTATTTTAAGTAAATCAACTTTGAGAGGGCAGAAACAGAATGAACACATTTCTTTTTTTTTTTTTTTTTAACATTTATTTATTATTGAGAGAGAGAGACAGAGTGTGAGCAGGGGAGGGGCAGAAAGAAGGGGAGACACAGAATCCGAAGCGGGCTCCGGGCTTTGAGCTGTCAGCCCAGAGCCACACACGGGGCTTGAACTCACAAAGCACGAGACCATGACCTGAGCCAAAGTCGACACTTAAGTGACCGAGCCACCCAGGTGCCCCCACATTTCTTAATTAAAAAAATAAATTATCTTGATTAACATTTTGGTGAACTTGGTGTGAGAAATGGCACAATAACAACTTAGTACTTCCCTAAAACTATAGATCCCTGTGCCCTTGGGAAGTAGGAATTGTAACATTTTTTTTTAATGATCTTTGTTAGCAAAATGTGTTATTGTGGGGTTTTTGTTACTGTTGAATTTTCCCTCAACCCAGCTTATTTCTGAATTATGGAAATATGTTACATTTTAGCTATCCAGACAATTCAGTGTTTGTAATAGGTTCCTATTGCTGCTCTAACAAATAATCACAACTAGAATTGATTCATGTAAAATGGATTTATGATTTTATGTTGCTAGAGGTCAGAAGTGTCAAATGCAGGCTCTTTCTGGAGGCTCTGTGGGAGAGCCTGTTTCCTTGCCTTTGGCAGCCTCTCGAGCTTCCTGTACTGTGTAGCTCGAGGCCTTGGCCTCCATCCTTACAGGTGGCACGTGGCCTTGGCCTCCACCTCCAAAGGCAGCAGTACAGCATCCGTCCTCTGACTCTGTCTCCCTCTGCATCTGTCATCGCATCACCCTTTCTCTGTGACTCTGATTTAGTTTGTCCGGCTTCCCTTTTTTGAGGACCCTTGTAAGAGGACCCTTGTGATTACATCCGTCAGCCCACCCATGTAATCTCCCTGTCTCAAGATCTTTAACTCAATCACGTCTGCATAGTCCCTGTTACCATGTAAGGTAACTTATTCTAGCAGGTTCTGGGGATTATGATGCAAACATCTCTGGAAGGCCATTATTTAGCTTACCACAGTAGTCATAGTAATTGTTCTTAGGGCCCCTGATTTGGGCTAGTCAGTACACTTTAAAAGGAAAAAGAAATCTCTTCCTCTTTGAACAAATAATGCAAGGCACTTCTGAGGGTCCAGAATTATGTATTGATACACTGAAGAAATATATACATATAACTGTTACTTTCTCTTTCTTTTTTTTTTGTTTTTTTATTCCATTCTAGATCCTGGGTGTTTGGCTGACCTACAGATACAGGAACCAGAAAGATCCTCGGGCTAATCCTAGTGCATTCCTTTGATGCAAAAACAAGGAACGTCTTTCATATTCTGATCTTCTTCACTTTCTCTAACTTAAAGTTCAGCTAATTTGCCTGTTTAAAGAAGCAGTATCTGAAAAGTTACATTATTGACAGTGGAATTATATATTTTTACTCTTAGGTTTCTCTAAATGTTTTCCTGTTTCCATTGCTGAAAACAATTAGATACTTGTGGCCTCCTCTGAACCTCAGTGGTACCTGTCATCTACCACATCCACGGTGTCTGGCAGTGTCCGCTATGGCCTTTCTTAGCATTTTTACCTACAGAGAACCTTTGTATGGCGCTGCTGTGTGGATCGTATTGTAAATCTAAATATGCATCTCATGGAAATAATTAACTGTACATAGCACAGTGCTGTGTAGATAGTTCCTTCTGGAAAGAAGAGTTGAAGTTTATTAAGGCCAGAAAGTATGAGATTCTATCACGTTGAATTCAGTAAGGGAAATCCAAATTCCCCAACTTGTTTTTGTCTTTTTAGGAACACTGTATTGTGAAAATTGTTAACATAAAAGTGATAATTTAGTTGCAGTAGTCTGTTATGATTACGCTAATGTAGCCTAGAAATAGCTGTGTCTTTAGGAAAGTGTGGTTTCATTTTTGATTTTTATAGGTAAGTACAAAGGAGAAACAGTCTCATTCATGAATGTTCTGATGTGTAACGTTTGCCCTCAGGTTTCGAGATGGAATGAGTTTGAGAAATTTGGAAAGCAGAGCTATGTCCTCTTCATATTCTTTGCTAATAATTTGAAGTCCAAAAGACTGCATTTTTAAACAAGTTCCTATTAATGCATTGGCCCATGGAGCAAAAAGATATTTGATTATTTTACAAATTGTTAAATACCTTTTTCATGAATTTTCTCAGTATCATGACAGCAATTCGTCAAATCCAGGCATATTTGAATGTGAGCTCCCATATTGAATTTGAAAAGGTATTGTGGTTCTGTAGATTATGTTAAAAATATTAAAGAATGGAAACCTTTCTTTGTGAATGAATGTTTTTTTTTTTTTTTTTTTTTTTTATTTATTTCTAGGAGAGGGAGAGAGAGAGACAGCGTGAGCAGGGGAGGGTCAGAGAGAGAGGGAGTGACAGACTCTGAAACAGGCTCCAGGCTCTGAGCTGGCAGTCAGCACAGAGCCCGACGCGGGCTCGAACCCATGAACCGTGAGATCATGACCCAAGCGAAAGTCGGACGCTTAACCGACTAAGCCACCCAGGCGCCCCTGTGAATGAATGTTTTAATTGAAAGAAAGTAATGGAAGAATTGCTAAATGAATTAAGTGAAATGGAATTCTTTTCTTTATTGCTTTGTTCGCTCTGACTATTGGAGTGTATAATCTAGCCATGGAAATGAACTCCCAGAACTGAGGTCTGCTGGTAGAGTCCTCCCCACATTCTCTCTTGAAATGTTTCAGTGTTTAATATTTTCCCCATAGTGAGAATTCTCCGTAGTGTTTTAAAAGAGAAGTCATTCGTATTTATTTGCAGAAAATATGTAAGTTCCTTTATGTTATCGACAGTTAATAAGCTCTTGTCTTGCATTCTATGTGCTCTATAGTATTTTAATGGTAATTGTCATGGCGATGGTTTTAGGCGCATGGTCGATCTATAGAATTTTAGAACATTTGGCAGTGGTGTCCCCTTCATGACGCTGGAAGACTGGCTGATCTTAAAAGAAAAGTGACTTGTGCAGTTCCCATGATACTGTAAGGAAGGAAAAATAATTTTCCCTTTATTCTGAGTTCCTGTCTTAGACCCTGTGTAATGAAGGTCAGATTAACAAGGGAAACACGGGCTTATTAACATGAATATCTTCTGTATACCTAGGAAATACCCTCCAAAACTGAGTAACTCCCCATGATAGCCCATGATATCATCTTAAACACTGTCTTTAGCTAAAGACTAAAGAAAGGTGTGTGTGTTGAGAGGTGGGAATTGGAGAGAAGGGCAGTGACAAAGGTTAACAGGAAAAGCACTGTAAACAAAGGCAAGTCTTGTAAAACAGATTTTGGTCAGTGACTTCTACATTGCTAAGTTTCTTCTGATTTAGAGTCATCTTTCTCTTCCTGGTGCAGAGAAGGAGACACCCTTACATATAGAAATTTCCTTTATAAATGTAAATTTTCCTTAAAGAAGGGTTAACTCCTACTTTCTTTGCAGAACTGCTCTGTGTCCTCTTTTTTTTTTTTTTCCCAAGAATAATCAGGTCAAAGGGCACCTGGGTGGCTCAGTTGGTTGAGTGTCCAACTTCATCTCAGGTCATGATCTCATGGTTTGTGGGTTTGAACCCCCATCGGGCTATCTGCTGTTAGCACAGAGCCTGCTTTGGATCCTCTCTTTCCCTTTCTCTCTCTCTCTCTCTCTCTGCCCCTCCTCTGCTCATATTCTCTCTCAAAAATAAACATTAAAAAAATAATCAGCTCAAAATACTCTTTATGTCAAGGAGTATATCCTTCATTGTGATATTGAGCCCTGGGCAATGCTCACATTGTTCCTACTTACCCCGTAAGATGAGGTTGGAAGTGACACATGAAGCAAGTGAGACTTTTGAACACTGTCTTTACTTTGAGGCAATTTGTGTTTTCCTTGTTTGCTTTAAGTTTTGAAGTTCCCTTGAGATTCTGGTGTCTCTTAATGTAATACTTTTCTTGGTACAAAATGATTATATGTGGAAAGGGCTCTTCCATAGCCCTGTTTGCGCTCTAATTACAGTGGCTTTATTTGGGTCAACCCAATTATGAACCAGGGCCTGGGAAGCATGAATATCTTAAGGGCTACTAAACTATAGCATTCTAAGAGTAGTTGGTAGTTAATGATTAACCACCCAAGAAATACTTCATTTTCAAGTACCAAGAGCAGGCTTGTTAGATTAATCTGGGCTTTCTGTTCCCTTAGGCAGATCTGGAGGTGATAGATTGTCCAGCCTGTTCTGGGAGGTCACCTGTGATCTTTGTGTTCTGCAGGCAGAGATAAAGCTCCCGTTGCACGCTTTGTTATAAACCCCCCCTCCCCCCTGAAAGGCCTCTGAGTGGGACTATCCTGAATCCCAGATGCCTGCTAATGAGGCTAAAGAAGTCAGTCTGATCCCAGGATTACAGGGGGCCCACTTCCTAGGTGCATAGAAATGTGGCCACAAACACAAGACATCAGAGGAGGGTGAATTTCAGATTGGGGTTAGTCCTTGAGTCAGACTAACTGTAATGCACACTCAAAACTCTCGAACTCCTCTCTTCTAAACCTCACATTTATTTATAAAAAAACAAAGCTACACTTGTTTTTTAAATTTCTCTTATTTTTGATTTGCATATTCCATCAAGAGGAGTGTTTCTTAGAACATTTGCCCAGTCAACCTTTATATGAAGGGTGACCTTTTAGTTAATATAATGTGAATACAAAGGAAATATGTTAGGCTACAGTTCCTAAAATCAGAGTTCATGCGGCATACATTCATCTCAGAAACTCTGTGATCCAAACGAGTTTGCTATGAAAACCAGCTCTGCTTGTTCAACTGACGTAATATGCTACTGAGGACAATCTTGCAACGAGAAGAAAAGAATCCAGAAGAGTGGCTTTAAGTTCCTAGTTCGCTTAAGCCAAAAACCTCCTCCTGCCTTTTTTTCCAAATATTTGTTTAGCCTTGTTTCAGTTCATTCATCCTTTTGAAAATGCACTGAGTCAATGTATGAAACGATTTCACTTCATAGCTGGTACTGCGCAAATTAGAATCACATTTTTACACAGTATTTTGTAAGAGAAAAACACTTTCAGGCATTGTGATTGTACAAATAGGATCATTCACATGCCAGTTGTATTATTAGAGTTGACAATAAAGTTAAGTACCGAGTTTTTCAGGTTTCTGGAAATGAGGGAATTTGTATCGAGTTGCTATGTACTTCCTATGCTTGTGGCTAGCAGTTAGTTTTCCACCTGACTATGCCAAATGTAATTATAAGATGTGTTGTTGGTCAATGTTTTCTAAACAATTTTAAGAGAGCAACCCGGTAATGACCTTTTCCCCACGCCTCCACTCAGCCCCAGGGAGAGAGAAAGAGAAGAGAACAGAGGTCTTCTTGTTTGTCATGATCACAACCGGGAAATTGTAGTCACCGAAATACCTCTGGAGATAGTGGGCAAGGGGGCAAATCAGACTCTTCTACCCTGTGCCGGGCTACTTCTCATCCATCTCAGGAAACTCAGCTTCTGGAATTCAGTTTCTACTGAGGGCCAGAGGGCGTTGCCCGGAGTCAGAATATATGGCAAACAGTGGACTGTGATATCACTCGGAGAGTGAAACCACCTTGCTTACTTTCAGGTTCCTGTGTTTTACAGTTTGGGAGGTCACAACTTGACAAGTGGCTTTTTAGAAGGTTAGACTCATTTTACTTGGACTTTGAAGTCCGACTCTGTGGTGAGTGACTGAAGAAAGTTATGTTCCTGACCTAGAACTCTTTAAAATTCTCCCCCAGCTCCTGTGCTCACCAGTGATTGCTAAATATAAAGACCTTAGAAGCTACTGAGGATTACTGAATGCATGAAACACACAAACAAAACAAAACAAAGCTAAGCAGTCATGGATGATCATTTGAAGACTGCAGTTCTCAAGCAGGTGAAAATAGTTTAACCAGGCATGTTGAACATCCGTGTAAATGACTCACAGATGATTTATGATACCCAATTTTTTTTCTAAATTACTTTTTCTTTTACCATGTAAGCTCTGGGGCCTCCGATAAAACTGATTAAACATTTTTTTCAGTGTGGTAAAATACACACAGCATAAAATGTATCATTTTAACCATTTTTAAGTGTATAATTCAGTGTCAGTACGTATGTTCACATTGTTATACAACCGTCACCACCATGAGCTTTTTCTTCCTTTTTTTATTTTTAAAATTTTTATTTTTTTATTAATGTTTTTTATTTATTTCTGAGAGAGAGACAGCGTGAGCCGGGGAGGGTCAGAGAGAGAGGGAGATACAGAATCTGAAAGAGGCCCCAGGCTTTGATCTAACAGCCAGCTCAGAGCCCACACGGGGCTCAAACCCACGAACCATGAGATCACAACCTGAGCTGAAGTTAGATCCTTAACCGGCTGAGCCACCCAGGTGCCCCTTTTTCTTCCTTTAAAAAAAAAAAAAATTTAAAATCTAATTAGTTAACATACAGTGCAGTATTAGTTTCAGAAGAATTCAGTGATTCATCCCTTACATTCAATAGCCACTGCTCATCACAAGTGCCCTCCTTATTACCCATCACCCAACTAGCCCATCCCCTATCTGTCTGCCTCCATCAACCCTCAGTTTGTTCTTCATTGCTTAAGAGTTCATTCTTTTGAATGAACTTCATTGCTTTTGATTGTGGTTTGCTTCCCTCTCTTTCCCCCACTTCCAATATGTTCATCTGCTTTGTTTCTTAAATTGCATGTCTGAGTGAAATCATATGGTATTTGTCTTTCTCTGGTTGACTTATTTCATTTAACAACATATTCTAGCTCCATCCACATCATTGCAAATGGAAGACTTCATTCTTTTTTGATGGCTGAGTAATATTCCATTGTGTGTGTGTACGTACACCTCATCTTCTTTATACATTTATCAGTTATGGGCATTTGGGTTCTGTAGTTTGGCTGTTGATAATGCTGCTATAAACATTGGGGTGCATGTACCCCTTCAAATCTGTATTTTTGTATCCTTTGGGTAAATACCTAATAGTGCAATTATTGTATGATAGGGTAGTCTACTTTTAGTTTTTTGAGGAACCTCATATCGTTCTCCAGAGTGGCTGCACCAGTTTGCATTCCCACCAACAGTGCAAGAGGGTTCCTTTTTCTCTGCATCCTTGTCAACACCTATTGTTTCTTGTGTTGTTAATTTTAGCCATTCTGACAGGTGTGAGGTTGAGTCTCATCATGGTTTTGATTTGTGTTTCCCCGAGGATGAGCCATGTTGAGCGTCTTTTCGTGTGTCTCTTAGCCATCTAGATGTC